TTTTTCCTTTGGAGTTATTGTAGATAGTACTGCATTTTAAATTTTTGTTTCTAATTGTTCATTGCTCATGTATAAATACATTAGCATTAGATTGGCGTGTTGAATTTGTATCCTGTGACCTTGATAAACTCACTTATTAGTTTTAGGAATAAATTTGTAAATTCTTTGGGATTTTCTACATAGAATATTATGTCACTTGCAAACGAGGACTGTTTTATTTCTTCTTTTCCAATTTCTATGCCATTTTTTTCTTACATTCTTGTCTTATTTTTTATTTGTGAAGGGTATTTTTCCTGGGCATAGAATCCTAGGTTGGCTGTTGTTTTCTTTCAGCAGTTTAAAGATCTTATTCATCATCTTCCAGATTTTATCATTTTTATTAAGCTATTTTTAGCTATTCTAGTCTCTTTGCCTATCTATTTAAATTTTAGAATAAGGATTTATCTGTCAGTCTTTTTATCGATAATTTAAAGGTAATGTGCTTTTTTTCTTGGCTTGCTTTTAAGATTATCTCTTTATCTTTGGTAGTCAACAAAGCGATTATGATGTGCCTAGGCTGTTCTTTGTGTTCTTTGTATTTATTCTGTTTAGGATTCACAGAGCTTCTTGAACCTATGACTTAATGACTTTTGTCATTTTTGGAAAACTCTCAGCCAGGATCTCTTCAAATAATGCTTCTATCTTCTCATCCCGGGACTCGGTTATATATGTTGTTGTTGTTAGGTGCTGTTGAATTGGTTCCAACTCATAGCGACCCTATGTACTACAGACAAAACACTGCCCGGCCTCATAATCGTTGTTATGCTTGAGCCCATTGTGGCAGCCACTGTGTCAGTCCATCTCCTAGAGGGGCTTCCTTTTTTTTGCTGACCCTCTACTCTACCAACCAAGTTATATATATGTAAAACCTTTTCACCATGTCCCATATATGTCTAATACTCTTTTCTGAATTTTACACCCATTTTGTCTCCATGTTTAAGTCTAGATATTTTCTACCAAAGTATCTTCCAATATACAAGTTCTCTCATCTTTCTCACTTAATCTGCTGTTAAACACATCTATTGAATTTTTTATTATTATATTTTCTAGTTTTAGAATTGTCTTTATTATTTTTAAAATTTTTATTTTGAAATAATTATAGATTCATAGAAAGTTGCAAAGCTAGCACAGAGAGGTCTCATGTATCTTTCATCCAGTTTCCCTCCTCAATGGTAACACCTTACATAATTATAGTGCTATATCAAAACAAGAAAAATGACCCTGATGCCATCCGCAGACCTTATTCAGATTTTACCAGTGTTACATGCACTTGTGTGTGTGTATGTGTGTAGTTCTATGCAATTTTATCCCATGTGTACATTTGTGTAAACACCACCACAATCACGATACAGAAACATCATCACAAAATCCTACACCCATCCCCTCCTGCCTCATCCCTAGCCTCTGGCAACCACTAATACTCTCCCTATTAATTCTGTTATTTTGAGAATGTTATAAAAGTTAAATTATACAGACTGCAACTGCTTAGTTTCCCAGGGCTGGAATAACAAAATGCCACACAGAGAGCACCTTAAAGAACAGAAATTAATTTTCTCACAATTCTGGAGGCTAGAAGTCCAAATCAGGGTCTTGGCTATGTCAATCCCTTCTGCAGCTTCTGAGAGAGGACTGTTCCATACCTCCCTCTTAGCTTCTAATGGCTTCCGGCAATCCTTGGCATCTCTTTGCAGCTGGTAGGTGTATCTGCACATTGCGTCTTCTCTCTCTCTCTCTGTGTGTGTGTGTGTCTGTTCCCATGTCTGTTCTCCCCTTTTATAAAACACCACTCAGAAGTGGTTAAAATTAGGACCCATCCTACTCTGCTTTGACTTCATTTAACTTAACTAACAACAAAATAAAAACCCTATTTCCAAATAAGATCCCATTCTCAGGTACAGGGTTTAGGATTTCAATTTTTTTGGTGGGGGGCACAAACACTCATCCTTTCTTGCCCCACCCTCTAATCTTTGCAACCAATGATATATTCTCCCTACAGTTTTGCTATTTTGAGAATGTTATATATTGTCTTCATTTTGAGAATGAACATGAGGGACACTCAGACTCTCATCCCTGCTTCTGCTTCAGCTCAGAGGATGTGCCCGGATGTGGAGCTTGAGGTCACTGAAGCTTCCTAGTTTGTGGAAGCATTCCCAGGAAGGGCTGAATGGGGTTGGTCAGTGCTTTTAGGATGAACGAGCTTAGTCATTGATCCAATAAACATTTATTCACCACCTGTGGTGTGCCAGGCACTGTTCTAGGTGCTGCAGATACATCTGTGAACAAAAGTGACGAAAATCCCTGCAAGAGCGCAGCTTATGTTCTCAGCAGAAGGAGATGGCAATAGTAGTGAGCATCAGAAATATGCGAATTACACATTGTATCAGCTTGCGATAAATGCTTTGGAAATAACAGAAGGGGCTGGGACTGAGATTCGATGGAAATGAGGAGGGGTATAAATTTTATGAGGTGATTGGGGAGGCTTCATCGAGAAAGGGGCATTTAAATAAAACATAAAGGAGGTGAGGGAGCGAATGGCATCTGAAAGAACAAAATTCACAGGCAAGGAGGAAGAGTCAAGGACGCAAGGAGTGGTGTCTGAGAATCAGTTGGTGCCTTGAACCATCAGGCTTCAGCGAGAAGGGACTTTCCTTACACACCCAGAATGGCCACAAGCCAAGCTCCCTGGATAGTGAATCAGGTAAGAAGATATGTTCAGGTAGCGGAAACGCTTTGTTTCCTGGAGGTAAGATACTTTGGGGGAAGAGAGGGGTTTTCTAAGAGCTGGTGTTAAGGAGGCACCATTACTGGCAGAAGCATTTTTGCTCATTGTCCAGCTCGATACTCTAGGTTTCAGCGGAGAGTCCTGCCTCAGACAATAGATGTTTATTTCTGGGCAAGAGAGGTTATTGAAAGAAAGTGGAGGAGGAACCCAGTGTTCTAAGGAAACTTCCCTTGATGACCCATGGTGCTGTGGGTGGAATCGGCTTTTATCTCTTCTACTCATCTGCTAGAAAAGGACACTATGTTTGGTAAGGTAGAGGGCCAGCAAAAATGTAGGAAACCCTCCATGAGATGGATAGACACAGTAGCCACAGCAATGGACTCCAACGTACCAATGATCATGAAGATGGCACATAAGGTCTCCATGAGTCAGAGCTGATTCGACAGCAACTAACAAGAATAACAACAACAACAACACTCATCGTGGAGGCCAGTTGTCCTCAACTAGTGTCTCTAAGGGCTGTGAAAATTCCTGAGCCCCAAATCTATTGGAGTTGGAGGGATATTGATACCCTCCACCCCCTACCCACTCAACCCTAAAACATTTGCTGCATTTCTAGACCTTTGGTCCCACAGCCTGACAAGGAGCACAAAGCTCAGCAGAGATTTCCTGAACTTGTCTCCAACACCATGAACCAGTTTTCCGTGGAATCAGTGAGTATCTATGAAAGCGGGATAACCACGGCGAGCTCCAAGGCCGTGGGCATTTATCTTCTCGCTCACTGCTGTGTTTGGCCTTGTGTGGATTAACGGGGAATATGGCGTTATCTTCTGATTTCTCAGCTGCCTTTTGAAGAGGACCAGCTGCCATGTCTACTTCCTGAATTTGTCTGGCACTGACTTGCTGTATCTTTCCTGCATGATTGTGCTTATTACTAAGCCTTTTGAAAGATGATGAGAAGACTTCACTGCACGCAAGTTTCAGAATGTTGGCCGCTTCTCCCACATGGCGGGGCTGACTTCCTGATGTCCATTAGCAGTGGGTGGTTGCTGCTTCAATCTTACTCTCCCTGTAGTTCCAAGGTTACTGTCCGAAGTGCCTGATGGTGACTGTATTGCCCTGTTCTGGGCCCTTCCTCCTGACTTTAAATGTGGTGTCTCAGTTTCCTGGGGCTTCCATAGCAAAGTAACAAAGTGGACGGTTTTCAAAAACAGAAAATTTATTGTTTCACAGTTCTGGAAGCTGGAGGTCCACATTCAGGGTACTGGCCATATTGATTCCTTCTGAGGGCTCTGAAGGAGAATCTGTTCCGTGCCTCTCTCTCAGCTTCTGGTGGTTGCCGGCAATCCTTGGTGTACCTTGACTTGTAGATGAATCCTCACATTATGTCTTTCCCCTGTGTGTGACTCTCTTTCTCTGTCTGTTCTCTCCTTATGTAAGACATCAGTCGGAAGAGACTAGAATTAGGACCCATCCTACTCTGGAATGATCTAGGTTAACTTAAATGACAACAAAGGAAAACCATATTTCCAGACAAGGTCATGTTCACAGGAATAGGGATTAGGACTTCAAAATATCTTTTTAGGGGATGGAATCAAACAAAAAGAAAAGGGGAAATTCCTTCCCAAAGCCCCCCAAAAAAAAAGGGGGGAAGGGGGTGAAGCCGGTTGGAAGGAAAAAGAAAGCCCGGCAAAACCCAAAACAAAACGGCTCAAAAAAAAAGGGCCGCCCGGGAAGAAAAAAAAGAAAAACGGGAACAACCTTAAGGAAAGAAAAACCCGGGGGGGGGAAGCCGGCAAGGGAAACAAAAGAAGGCCCTTTCCAAGGCCTGGTCTTTTCAGATGTCATGTCCAAAGCAAATGAGTTGAATAGTCTCACCATCCTTGTTTCTAAGGAACATTCTGGTTGTATTTCTTCTAAGACTGATGTATTCATTCTTCTGGCAGTCCACGATATGTTCAATATTCTTTGCCAACACCACAGTCTAAATGCACCGGTTCTTCTTTGGAAAAGGATGGAGAAATTTCCTCCTCATTCATCTGGTAGCTGATACAGTGCTTTCCCTGATTTCTACTGCTGTATCTTTATCAGAAGAAGAAATGAATTGCTTCTTCTTTCACTGGCAGATCAGAGAGCAGAACAGAAGAGCCAGTTGAGGTGTTAAGAGGAAACTCTAGGGCAGTGATGCTTGGCAAGCTAGTCTACCTGGGAAATGGCTAAGTAACTCTTGCCTTATAGATCAGACAAACAACTCCATTGTATCAGTGTGGGAGGACTCCTTTCTCATGTTCACTTCTGCCTCATCCCCTACAGCCCTCTGTAGGATCACCCTGAGGGACTCCCGCTTCTTCCGCTGCCTGAAGCTCCCAACAAAAAAGTAAATTATGGGGTTGATGCAGCTGTTCATGCAGGACAGAATGTCAGTGAGATAGTAGGGAAGGCTCAGGGATTGGAGTATTGTTTGATGCCACCAGTCTAGAAGTAGCCAGTACATTCCAAAGGGGAGGCCACAGAGAAGGAACATAAGGACAGTGAGCAGGATAATAATGTAAACCTTCGTGGGGTGATGTCTCTGGGACAAACACTGGACCCTGAGGAACAGAGTCAAGCTGGAGACACACATCACAGAGACCAAGAAGAGGATCAGCACAGCACTGACCACAGTGAGATTATAGCACGCTTGTTCACTGTAGTCTCTGAACAGGAAGCGGCAGGTGTTCCCTGTCAGTGTGCACACCAACAGGGACTTGGTCCAGAGCAGGACACACACGATGGTGGACAGGTGCTTTGGGCGGTGCAAGCGGTACCAGATGGGGCAGAGCACGGACAGGCAGTGCTCAGTACAGATGGCAGCCAGGAGGCTCATGTCCATGGCGTACGAGGAAAATGCTATTGGGGCCAAGAGTTTTGCTATGGGGAAGGTGAAGTAAAAGTACCACTCGACCTTAAAGTGGAGGGTTAACAAGGAAGCGTCAGAAGAATTTGTTAGAATGTCAGTCAAGACAAAGAAGAGCTGGCAGCACAGGAAGGTGAAATCTGCTCCTGCCAAGTTGAGGATGTAAACAGAGAAAGCACTCCTCTTGATGCGGAAAGCTAGGAGCCAGAGGACGGTCCCATTCCAGAACAGCCCCAGGAGACTGATGATGCCAGTGATGGGGAAGGTGAGAGAACATGACCAGCGTCCTGCTGTGGGTGGAGTTTCCAGTACTGAAGTGGGCCCTGTGGTCATTCTCTCCAGTCCACTGCTGTAGGCTAGTGGCCAGAGAGATTGTGTGGGAGAGGACTCCATATTGGTACCATTCAAGTTCAGAACTCTACATCCAGCAGATTCACCTGTGAACACGATTATGTAAAAATACATCAGACCTTTCTTTGGGATGAAGGGTTTCCTCTGTTAGCCTTCCACTTAGAGTTACCATAAGTTGATAGGGAAATGCTGGGTACCATTTCCTTTGGAAAGACCAGTGGTAGGTTTTGTGGGTGCTTATACAGTCTTGGGTATCCTCTTTAAAAAAATAAAAGAAAATGTGAATACAAAATTAGATCTGAACGTGAATGTTTATTTAGAACAAGAAGAGGTAATAGTCAAGTAAATATTTGAAAAAACTGAAAAAAATACTGCAAACAAAATACATCACAAAATATAATATTTTTATGAATTAATTGCTTAATATACCTATATAATCATACTTTTATTTCCAAAGAAATTTTGACTTCATACATTGATTGCTTCCTCATATGACAATGATTTTTCACGATCATTTTCGTGTGAAAGAATACAAAATAATTCAGTCTTACCTCTAGCATGGTTGGTAGGAATTTATGTTTTATTACTAGCTGTTGCATAGTTGGGCAGTTGGGATGCATAACACATATGACTTCATACACAGACATGCTCTATGTTCATGGGGCTGTAATTTGAGCTGTACAAACACAGGAACTCAATAAATTCTCTTTTGCAAAAAGAGAAAGAAGAAAAGAAAGAAGGTATGATGCATTTACAATTGTATATACTGACTTATTGAGTACATTCTTCACAGATGAGAACTTAATTTTGACTAGAGAGCGATGAGAACTAGATCCTCTATTTACATTTTTATGTGCGTGATGATCGGAAGAATTTTGCACACACTACACTCGGTATGTGTATATTTTAAGTCATGGTTCTCCTCCCCTCCACACATACTTCCAGTGCTAGAAGCTAAAGCCTTATTGTTGTCCTACTGTGATCTCAAACACTGCCCTTTTGTGTGTGTCATGATGTCGGATGGGTTGGCCCAGTGGTAGAGACTTCCTGGAAGACATTCCTTCAGTAGGATCCCCATCCATACCCCAACTCTACACATTCATCTCTCAGTGGTGCCACCGGCCATAACTCAATTCCTCACAGTTGTGACTTAGTGAGAACGGTAGCCGTAACTTAACTCTACACAGACACAACTTAGTGGGACCAATCCACACAGCTATGACTTAGTGGGGTTGCCAGCCATAAGTTAACTATAAATAGTGACTGCAAACCACATAAGTCCATCCAACTAGACTCAAAAAAGATGATTCAACTTAACTTCCAATTAGTTTTATTACAAAAAATGCCCACGGCCACTCCAATAATACTTACTAACTAGGGGAAATACAAAAAGAGGAAGTCAGAGTGGAAAGAGACATAGTTTACTTTGTACATTTTCCAAAAGCAAATGACTATGTATATACTCGAGGCTTGCATTTTTCCAGTTGTTGTTCAAGCCTTGAGTTGCAATATTGAAAGATTCTATGAGAAAAATCCAGCATGTATCTGTCAGTTTGTCGTACTGTGGTGGCTTGCATGTTGTGGTGATACCGGAAGCTTTGCCACCGATATTTCAAATACCAGCAGGACCACCTTTGATGGATAGGTTTCAGCTGAGCTTCCAGACTAAGACAGACTAGGAAGAAGGACCTGGCAGTCTGCTTCTGAAAAAACTGGCCGGTGAAAACCTGAATAGCAGCGGAGAATTGTTTGATATAGTGCCAGAAGATTAGCCTCTCATGTTGGAAGGCACTCAAAATACAATTAGGGAAGAGCTGCCTTCTCAAAGCAGAGTCAACCTAAACGGTGTGGATGGAGTCAAGCTCTTGGGACCTTTATCTGCTGATGTTGCATAACTCAAAAATGAGAAGAAACAGCTGCAAACATCCATTAATAATCAGAATGTGGAATGTACAAAGTAAGAATCTAGGAAAACTGGAAGTTGTGAAAAATGAAATGGAACACATAAACATCGATATCCTAGGCATTAGTGAGTTGAAATGGACTAGTATTGACCATTTAGAATCAGACAATCATATGGTCTACTATGCCAGGAATGACAACTTGAAGAGGAATGGTGTCACGTTCATTGTCAAAAAGGACATTTCAAGATCTATCCTGAAGTACAACGCTGTCAGTGATAGGATAATATCCATACACCTACAAGGAAGAACGGTTAATGTGACTATTATTACATTTACACGACAACTACTAAGGCTAAAGATGAAGAAATTGAAGATTTTTACTAACTTCTGCAGTGTGAAATTAATCAAACTTGCAGTCAGGATGCATTGATAATTACTGGAGACAAAGAAGAAGGATTGGTAGTTGGAAAATATGGTCTTGGTGATAGAAATGACACCAGAGATCTCATGATAGAATTTTGCAAGACCAATGATTTCTTCATTGCAAATACTTTTTTCACCAACGTAAATGATGACTATAAACGTGGATCTTGCTGGATGGAATGCACAGGAATCAAACTGACTGCATCTGTGGAAAGAGAACAATGGAAAAGTTCAGTATTATCAGTCAGAACAAGGCCGGGGGCCTACTGTGGAACAAACCATCAATTGCTCATGTTGAAACTGAAGAAAATTAGTTCAAGTTGAAGTTGAAGAAAATTAGAACAAGTCCACAAGAGCCAAAGTATGACCTTGAGTATATCCCACCAGAATTTAGAGACCATCTCAAGAACAGATTTGACGCATTTAACACTAATGACCGAAGACCAGATGAGTTGTGGAATGATATCAAGGACATCATACATGAGGAAAGAGGTCATTAAAGAGACAGAAAAGAAAAAAAGACCAAACTGAATGTCAGAAGAGACTCTGAAAGTTGCTCTTGAACATAGAGTAGCTAAAGCAAATAGAAGACATGAAGAAGTAAAAGAGGTGAACAGAAGATTTCAAAGGGTAGCTCTAGAAGAAAAAGTAAGGCATTGTAATGACATGTGCAAAGATCTGGAGATAGAAAACCAAAAGGAAAGAACATACTCAGCTTTTCTCAAGCTGAAAAAACTGAAGGAAAAATTCAAACCTTGAGATACAACATTGAAGAATTCTACGGGGAAAATACTGAATGACGCAGGAAACATCAAAAGAAGATGGAAGGAATACACAGAGTCACTGTACCAAAAGGAATTGGTCGATGTTAAACCATTTCAGGATGTAACATATGATCAAGAACCAACGGTACTGAAGGAAGAGGTCCAAGCTGCACTGAAGACACTGGCAAAAAACAAGGCTCCAGGAATTGACGGAATATCAATTCAGATGTTTCCACAAACAGATGCAGCTCTGGAAGTGCTCTCTTGTCTATGCTGAGAAATTTGGAAGACAGCTACCTGGCCAACT